CCCCACTCCATCCAAGGGCACATCAGCTCAGAGATGATCCTAGTTTCACATTGATTCCTCCAAGCTGTGTGAGGGTATCTGAACTGAGATGGATGCGGGGCTTTAGAACCAGAGAACATAAGGTTGTCTCTTCCTCATTTGAGTCCTTAAGTTCCCTCTTAGACAGCAGAGGGTTGGGTGGGTAGGGGTCAGGAAGGCTGGGCCCTGGGCTTATCTCTACTGATGTCTACCTGTGCCATTCTCAGGTATTTATCAATATGCATTTAATGTCTGGTGTGTGCTAGGCTCTGTGCCACTGGGGACACAAGCAGTGATAGCACTAAGGGTCGACTGGGGAGAACCTTTACCCAATGAACAATGACCATCAGTACCCTACCCCCAACCCACCTCAGGCTGATGGCATGACAGCTTAATTTGTAGAAGGAAAAAACTAAGTAAAGGCTATAATTTACAGTTGGGATAATTGGCCAACTGTTAGGAAAGGGAAAAAACCCTACCATAACCATCTATGTAAAAATAGTGTGCTTGCTACGCAAACTCAGCTTTAAGACACAGTTCCAGCTGCTATGGGGGCACCTCTCCATACTAACCAGGCAGCTGACCCTAAGCTTCTCCTGAATAGGCATTCTGAGCTGCCCTAAGATATATGGGGGAGCAAAACAGACTTGGTGTCCTCTTCTGAGTTCAGTTTTGCTGCTGGGAGAAATATTAAGCAACCAGGCACTTGTGACCCAATAAGATATATACCTTGATGGGTGAAGCAAGGAAAAGTGGGAGCGTGAAAGAGTCCCCCAACCCAGGCTGGAGGACAGGTTTCTCTGAGAAACCATATGCCTAATAAATACGTGCTAAGAAATTACTGAAATGCCAGCTAGGCTGGTATTTAAGGTAGAGTGAACCAGATTGGCCCTGGAGGGACAAAGAATTAGGAGAAGGAATGGCAAGATCCCAGGAGCTGTTGAAAACTCAGCTAGTTTGGGAAATTGGCCTGGCTGGATTAGTCATCTTCCTGGAGTTGCTGCTTCCTGCTGGAATTGGCCTTGGAGACTTCCTGTGTATGTGCACCAAGGCTGGCAGCATTACCTCCTCCAAGTTCTTCTTTCCTTCTCCTTCTTTCCTTCCTTTTTTCTTTCCTTCCTTCCTTCCTTTCCTCTTTTCTTCCCTCCTTCCTTCCTTCCTTCTTCTCTCTCTCTTTCTTTTTTTTTTTTTAATGAAAGCTGGCTTCTCATCCACGAGAGTGGGCCAGTAACCTGGGCACACAGAAATCTGCATGGCTTGACAAAGCCCTTTGAGGCCCGGATGTGCTCCTAGGCTTGGCAACCATGAATGTGGTGTAACTTTACAGTGAAAGCTCCAGAGAGTGAAGACTCAGAGAAGCATGCCTGAGGCCACATGACAGGCTGTGCTCTTAACCATGTGGACCGAAAGATTCCTTAACTAAAGTTACTCTCGCCTATAGCCCCGTTTGTTGCCCTCTTTCTTGTTTGAGGGGTGAGTAGAGCACTGAGCCCTGACAGCTCTGCCCAGGTGAGGGCGCAGCATTCCTGAGTGGAGCCCAGCCCGGCAGATGAGCTGCTGGGGCTGGTGGAGGGGTGCAGGTTAGGAGAGGTAGAGACTAAAAGGGCAAAAAGAGGCTGCAGAGTCCAACTGGACAGAGAGAGGAGTTAAGGAAGCAGGTTTTCTGATATGGCTCCTCTTTCAGGCAGCCTTAGTGGTGGTGGTGGGGTGGGGGCACAGAAGCTTAGTTTCTAATTAAGCCTAGCCCCTGTGTCTTCTTGCTCCCCATTAGCACCCCACAGCATCCCCGAGGCATTTTAAGCTGCCACCCTGCTGAGGAGGCCGGGATGGCCGCCAGGACCTGCCAAGCTTGATGTGCTTAGGCTGTGAGGGGCAAAAAGCCAAGTGAGGCTTCCCCCTCCTCTCCACAGCAGTTTCTGGGCCCCTTGGTCTCCTTCTTCTGCCCACCACATCAACTGGGGGTTTGAGTGGAATCCAGATTATCTCCTTGTCCCCAGTGCCACATCCTGACCCTAAAGTGTAGGGTAGGGAACAGGGAGTAGGACAGAGGGTCAGCTCCTTCTGCAGCAGCCCCCAGCCTCAAGGCTAGGCTGTCGGAATCCAGCACAAATAAAGCAGTCAGTGGGAAGCAAGCGTCAATTACCATTTTAGGTTAAGGCAGCTTTGGTTTGTTAACCCTTGCTGTCACGGGGATCCTGGAAGTCAAATCCTTCCCTTTCTCTCCTTCCTCCTCCATGTCTTACCTCTCTTTAAGCAATCTTCTAGTTCCTGGCAGAGTGAGCACTAAGATTTGAGGTCCTCACTCCCCCTTTTCCCACCACACTCTTGAGCAAGCTCAGAGAGGTGTTAGAGTGGGTCCAAGGTCACACAGCATAGAGGCAGCCTCCACCCCTGGGGACCCAATCCCACTGGTTCCGCTGCTTCTACCTTCACAGTCTCCCCAGGCCACATTCACACATGCAGAGTTTAATTAACTTTATTGATATTCAGAAATTAGGAGAATGACTAAAGGTAATTGCTCATTAAAAATCATTAAACTGACACAGCAGGCCTGAGCAGGCTCAGCCTCTCCTGTACCGCCTTCTTCCCTACTATAGCAAGACCTCCCCGAAACTGCCCATGGGTTGGGTGGATACACTGTGGTCCACAGTGCCCCTTAGATCTGGGGCCAATTCTTCACAGGAAGTGCAAAGGGAATAGGGGACTGAGTCCATGGAGGGGGCCTATTCTCACCCTATCTCCAAAGCCTCTGGGGCCTCTGCCTACCAAGACTCCTGCCGCTTCTGGGCTGCGCCTGGCTGCATCTAGCAGCTGGAGTCTCAAATGTGAGCAAAGCTCTGAGGGCTGCAAGACTGCTAGGCTAAGGGATGCATGGCCCTGGCTGCGAAGGCTCATGGCCTTTGGCCTTTGCTCCTCAAGAGCTCTCCTTCCCGGAAGCCTCCAGGAACTCTGAGATACCCAAAGGCACTGTCTCCCAATGAGAGGACTCAGTACCTTGAGCAACCAGGATCTTAAATCACAGCTAGAGAGGGAGGGGCCTCTGGGCCACCCAGCTCTGGTGCCCATGCCTTCACCTGCCAGGCTTCTTCCTCCTTTCCTCTGAGTGAAAATAAAGATCTTCCTCAGCAGTCAGACACCTGGCCCAAAAATGGGCACTGGAGATGCTACTGGGTCAGAGAGGGACGTTCACAGGGGACACAGAGACTTCCGGCCAAGAGTGGGCAAATTCCTCCCAACACCCGCCCCCACAAACTCAGTGGGGCTCAGGGGACTCCCAGCCACGTCAGCCTTCCTGTGGAGCCCTGAAGTCTCAGCCCAGCTCCCAGGAAGTCCTCTGACAGAGGCTGAGTTCTCGCCCATTGTTCAGACCTCCCCAAGCATAGACAAGGTGGGACTTGCTACTGCAGACACACAAGTTCCAATTACACTCACAGCAGGACACAGTCACACAAGAGGCCTCCGACTGCAAGCCAGGGAATGGACACTGGCCCTGTGCCTCAGGGGAGCTGTCCAGAGCAAGGATGTGGCCAGACTCCCATTCAGATCCTGAATTCAGAGGGACATACTTGACGGCTACCTCACCTACGGGCTTCTCTTTGCCTATTCAGTTCCTGGGGTGAGGCTTCCGGAATTCTTCCTCTCAACATAAACACCCGGTTCCAAGTTACCCGTGTAGCTGGAGGATTCGATGTGGCCAGGTGGCTGGGAGAGGACACGGGGCTGCGCGAGAGCAGGGCTAAAGGCTCCGAGGCAGGCTTCCACACCCTTGGAGCCATAAAGCCAAAAACTCTGCGGTGTAGGGGCCCAGCGCTGCCCTGACCTCAGATGCGGAGGGGAAAGATCCAGCGCAGAGGTTAGAAATTCCCCTTCTTCGCTCCTCCACAATAGGCGCTGCGAACCATATGGCGAGGGACCGCGGTTTGCAACTCCGAGAGCGGTTTCTACCCCACCAGCCGGTGGAAGGAGCAGGAGAAAGACCCGAGCAATCAGCTTCGAAAAACAGCTTGCTTGAACCGGGACGGAAGGTACAGACAAGACTCTAAAACCTTCCTTTTCAGGAGCACAGAACCTTTATCCTTTCCCCAAACTCCCTTTGTGCCTACTCCAAGGCCAAGCTTCCCTCTGACCCGAGACAATGAAGTTGAGGTTGTGACTCTCCGCGAGGGGTTGGGGGCGCAGGGTAGGGAACCGCCAGTCCTCTCGCAGCCAGTCTGACTACTGCCGATGGGTGGAAGGTTTAAGAAGGCAGGCAGGAGGGAGGCAGAGCTCTGGGCGTTTTCGGTGTGTGTGTAAAGGACTTCAGAGAGGACAGACTATCCCGGGACCTCATATTCTGCAGTCCAGAGCACAGAGAGGAGCCAGATACATGGCCCAGGGGTCCCCGAGTGTTCTCCCAAAACTGTGCTCTAGGTCCTGATTCTGGCATGGCAGTGCTAAGGCGGAGGGAGGTGAGCGACAGCCTAACCCCGGGTCCGGACGACATCAGGCCGGGTTCCTCCGCAGTCAGGATGCGAGAGGCCCGGAACCCGCGACAAAGTCGTGCGAAGTTTGGCGGGCAGCAGGGTAGGCGGGATCGCGGGCCGCCGGCCAGACTGTCCCGACTCACCGCCCCGCGTCCCCCCGCCCGCGCCTCGGCGCCCCTAGACGCCTGGAGTGTGGCGAGGTGGCGCGCGGGTGAGCGCGTGTGTGCGGGGAGGGGGTGGCGTGATGAATTGCAGCAGAGAAATCCCATTAGATCCGGGGAGATGATTAAAGGCGAGGTCTCGGCCAGGCGCGAATGGCGGGAGCCGCGGCAGCTTCCCGCCCGCGGAGCCTGCGCCCCGCCCGGCTCCGCCGGCGCCGAGGGCAGCGCAGCCGGCGGGACGCGGAGCTCGGGCTGGACAACCGGACGCGCGCAGCTGAGCGCCAGGGCGGTGTTCCCTTCCTACCCGCCGGGACCTCGCCCCCGCTCCCGTCCTGCGCCGGACGCCGGGGTCCCTTACCGTGAACCAGGAGCGCCAGCAGCGAGGGCAGGAGCAGCAGGGCTGCTGGGCGCATGGTGCTGGTTGCAGCCGCGCCCCGGACTGGGGCCGCAGCGGTAGGGCGAGGGGCTCTGCGAGGCGTGGGCGCAGGAGGGGCAGAGCCTGCCTGGTCCGGCAGGGAGCGGGAGCGGGA